ATTTAGACGTGTATTCTAATATTTATAAATACACAAAAATGATATGTATTGTGAATAAAGCTAAATTTTGATCAAACATAAATATATTTTATCTTTGTTATTTTTTATTTCTCCCATCTATTAAAAATAATCAAGAATTTTTGTTTTTAAATATTTTAATACCGCTTTTGACTCGGATAAAAAAATCTAGTATTATTGAAAATAAAATAAGATATTTTCAAATATTTTCTATATTTCTTAAATAAAATTCTCTATATTAATTATCACATATTCGTTATTTTCATATATTTGTTATTAAGAATTTTTAATAATTTTTACAAATTTTTATTAGGAAATGAATTCCTTAAAACCCTCTTAGGATGACACCTAGGATTTTCACCTAGTGTCTCCTCTATTAATATATAGAAGATTCCTTTTCGTGATCCCTCTCTCTCATTCAAGGAGAAAATTTTAACAATATCATCAGATAATTGGGCAACCGTTGTGAGATCAGAGACTTAACGAGTTTTCCACGCAGTTCGCTTGGATAAACAAAAACTTTGAGGACTTTGCTTATACCATTTTATTGCACATTAGTTTGGATTTTTTTGCCATTACAAAAGACGAAATGATGTTTCTTGTTATCCTCATCATAGTTAACCACTGCTTCCTCGGTCTCATAGGAGTTATAGTTCCGGAGGATACCTACTTGGTTGCCAGTGATGTTAAACACACGCAAAATACGTTGTTTGACATGTTTATATTGTTCCTTTTATTTAGTAGACTCAAATAATAAGCAGACTGAAAGTCAGGATGATTGGCCGTCGGAGAAACCGTGAACGCAAAACCATATCCACCTTTGTATGAGCAAGAAAATTGTACATAAAATAAGAACGATGTAAAAAATGAATCAACAACAACAAAACTTTGCAATCTCATAGGATGATAGTAAAATGTTGCTCCAACGACGTCCGGGCTACTATTCGTTAAGACAAGTACTTCATCATCGTTTATTTGCGATGCTCTGGTAAGTTTAATTTTCGATTTAATTGCTTTGAAATCTTCAAAAGAAAAAATTGTTTATAGATTGTTTACGTCGTTGTTCGCTCAACATAAATGATAAGAAACAATGAGAAAAAGACAATATAATGAATAATTTTTGAAATATAGTTGTATCCATAAGGATATTGAACATGTCGATCAAGAAATAAGAGAAGTGAATATTGAAAGAGATAGAATGAGAGAGAGAGATTGATGAAAAGTCAGAAATAAAATGAGAGATGATTGATGATTGATGAAAAGTGGATACTAAAAGAGCTAGGAAGTTGCACCCTGCCAAAGGATTTGTTTTAAATGCAGGCTACCCATTTAATACTGTTGCAAAATTCACATGGAAAACAATAAGATACCTTAAATGTTATCAAATCTCCGGCCAACATGTTAGTCAATTTCCTTGCCTCTCTGTCAAAGATTACAAATCTTCCTTGATCTGTCTCATCATCAACAATGACTTCAAGCCGAAACCTGACAGAATTTTAAACGTTCCATTTTACAAACGAATGTTGGAATTAACATTTGTAATAATCAATTAAAGTATTTATTCTTTACCTGACCACACCGATAAAACTGGAATCGTCACAAAAGCGACAAATCAATTTATCATCCAACGGTTTGATTCTGTAGTAGCATTTTGCGCATGAGATATTGTACCATCCATTTCGGGTTATGATATCAACTATTCTGGCAGAGCAGATAAATTCTTTTTCCTGCAAAAATTTGACATTAGTTTGAAAGTAAAATAGGTAAGTTCTGTTATTAGAAACAAAAAAATAATGTAACCTGAGGTTTAGCAACATCTAAAAATGATAACATCTGCGAAATGGTCTTCAATGAGGAGCTTTCTTCATTTAACTCATGTTCTTGTAGAGAAGAAGTCTGAATATTTTCATATTGGTGCCTGAATAGATTTATGAATTACATTAGTATTATCTTCTACTCTCCCAACGGAATCAAAACAGAGCTTTCATAATAAAGCAGAGTACATACCTAACACTCTCTACCTCTTGTGGTTCATCGTGCTGATAAAACCGAGTAGCTGGTAAAGTGTTCAAGTATAGATCTCCTACACAGATTGGAAGATAATTTGTTGGTGTACAACCATTGTATACATTCTGTTTTAACATGTAACTATACGTACCGGCAAACATCTTACGATTAACTGTTGTTATGACAACAGAACATTGTTTCCTCTGTGTCATGGAGAGGAACGATCGAAAATCAGATGCGATGTTGTCCCAGATAGAGAGGTGAACTTTGGTTCCGCTGATTGTGAAATTAAAAAGTCTGAGAGAAGAGTAAATAATAATGGTAGCAAAAACACTGTTAACATAATAAACTTACTCTTGAAGAACAATACTGCTTTGGGCATCGACATCCAAAGATATACATCTTTTGTCGATGAAGTTACGAGGATATCACTTCACTCACGTTAGAAGAATTTCTAAAGACGCACAACAAAAGTAAGGACGTCACACATTTCCTTCAAATCCTCTTTTCTCATTGAAGAACCCATATGTAGATGAGTTTCCCAATTCATTTCTACAACCATAAGTTATCTCCTCCTATGCTCAAACGGTTTCAATTCTACCAAATTCGCATTCATAGTCATGCAAAGAAAGAGTAATAAGCCAAAAATATTTACATACCGATTTTGAGTGTAAGATCGAATATGAGATTTAATTTCTGTCCTGGAAGATTTTTTTCCGTCATGATAGCCTTCGTCTGCCCAAGGGTTTTTAGGCAAGGAATTTGAGTTTCTCTCTCGAATTCGCCTACTCCAATCTACTGGACTGCTTAAGGGTTTGAGCTTCTAATTTGGGGAAGAACAATCGAGGAAAGAAGATTCAAAAGAAAGCAAAAAAATAATTTTTTTATTTTACTTGACAATTCTTCTCTCTTTTTGACATCAACTATACGATTTTCTTTTATCCAATTAAAAAAAAACGAAGACATAGACCCAAAATTGTAGAAAGTGTATAAGATTTTTAAATTTTAGTATTGATTTATTTGTAGCTTTATTATTAGTTTAATTAACTCAAATATTAAAATAACAGTAACACATTTTGAAATGGAAAATTAGCATCAATAATCAACAAAAATTTTATAATTCAATAAATAACTAATTTTTTAAGATCCAATGGCTTAGATTTTGCCACGTAATACACTTTTGCTTAGTTTTTGGGTTATAATTTTTTTCTTGGTTATTCACCCAATTGACCCTTTGGAAATTGGGTCTAAAGATGTTAAACAAAAAATAATAATACAAAGTCAAAAAAATGACAAGATAACATTTTCATAAACTCTATAAAAGTTTCATCAACTTGATCCATTCAATAAAACCACAATTATAAGTACTAAAAATAATAATAAAAGTCATAGAAACAAATATCAAATTCATTATGAAAGTATAAAAAAAATAAATACGACTGTCCGCGCGTATGCGCAGGTTATATTCTCACGCTCTTAACTCATATATGTCACAACTAATCGCATGTTGTTTTATTTTCTTTAAAAGCAACGCACAATCGTAAACGGATAATAATCGGGTCTAGAATTTTCTATAGTTTCAAATTACTATATGCTAAAAACCCATTGAAAGAAAATAACTAATGTTGCGCACATTTGTAAAATTAAATTTATATTTCTGTTAAACCGACTCAAATGATCAAAGTTAAACTAACTATCCACGACAATTAATTTTATTTTTAACTAAAAATCAATTCGAGTTAACGTTTCATTTTTATTAGGATACTGAACCAGATCGTAAGTTTCAACGAATTATTTTTTATACGACAATCAACAAACTAAAACAAACCAATTATCTAACACAATATATCTAAATCATTCAATATTTTACGTGCATTTGTGAGGGTTTCGACATCACTTTGTGAGAAGAAGAATCACAATATACACAAAAACATGCACCAAAATAAACTGGACACGCACAATTATCCGGTAGTTTTCACTAAAAACCAAATCGAATCAAAACTTTATTTCTTTCTGCAAAGTTACATACAAATCAAAATTTTCTATAGCCTAACTGAATTGGATCATAAGTTTATTCAGTGTGAGGGTTATGGCTCCCCTCTTAGGGTTTAGTTCCTCTTATAATTTTCTAAAAATACAATTGTTTTAAATGTTTTACGTATATTTATGATTGTAAATAGGG